AAAAATTTATCTCAACATTCTCATTCGTATATCTTTATTATTACAAAATGAGATCTCATCTAATCATACATCATTTGAAAGGCCGTCAGGAGTACTCAAACTTTATATAAATACCTTTGGTCCGAAATCACTTTTTGTTTGAATATGTATTAATTTTTGGCAAGCCTCAAAACTTATGAAACACCCTGTAAAAATAATCTAAACTAACAATCCACCATAAATTTAAATAAAACAAAACAAAGTACTTACCAAGAGAGATAGATCCAATTTCTGAATTATAGTTTCAAATATGACAATTTTTTACTATTGAGAATCTATTATTCACAGAACTGGACACAAGACAGATATTTAGATAACTAATATGTACTTTGATGATCAAAAGTCAAAATAAAGATTCGCTTATTAATTTGCTATTACATTATAAACATTGTTTCCGAACTGTTGTATTCGTATATTACTTATTATAATTTATCTGTTATATCTGCGAGGAAATGAGCAAAGTTATTGTATTTTATTTTTGTACTTATTTGAAAATGTTAATCATTTTATTAAAGAATAAAATTTTAGTTTCGAATAGACATCACATGAAGAACAAAAATCTTATTCATAACTATTATGAATTCACATTCTTAAGTACACGACAACACAGATGAAACTCTTAATTTAACTTGTACAAATATTTCAAACACAAAAGAAAACAATAACAACAAATAACATTTACACTGATCTTTATGTCACACTTCTTTTTTTTCCTTATTTACTGATACTTTGTAAAATATACAAAAAGTTCTATAAATACAAACTATTAACAATATACCACAAATAGATATTGGACTGTTTCAAAAAAAAAAAAGATGAAAACTACAATAGAGAGCATATAAAATTAAGTATGTTAAAAGTATTGAATAGAAACTTCTTTATTAAAATTCACTATAATACATATTCATATCACAAAAATAATGTTTTGACGCAATAAGAAATAGAGAGAAAAAAACAACGATACAAATATAATATAAGTATAAGAAACTAAATAGTTGATTTTGTTGATAAATTACTTGATGATGATATTGAAAAATTATCATTATCATCATCATCATCATGAAATTTTAAATATGGTAATGAAAACCATTTCCATCGTTCATTAGGCCAAGAATGTAAATGAAGATTTGCTTGAGGATTTTGTTGTTTTATTGTTAAATAAGCACAAACAACAATACCTTCATTACTACTAAACAAAATCAATACATGCCATATGGAATGTAAATAAGGAAATGATATTGATAGCCAATATGAACAAAACATACGATCACTTATCCATATTGTAACTGCAATAATCCACATAACAAGACAATGAATACCAAGATGTTTTACACGCGGGTTATCACACCTGAAAAGAAACATACATAAATTGAATATATATCAAAAACAAAATGTAAAATATTAAAATTTTTACCGTGAAAAATGAAGAATGATAAAGCCTGTTGCAGGTAAACCAAGTAGCATTAGTGCAAAAGCATTTGCATATGGATAAACAAATGAAAAACAAGTAATAACCAATGCAAAAATAATACAACTGTAGACAAATCGATTTCTAAATAAAAATTAAATACCTAGTTTTAAGTGATAAAATGAAGATATGTCTTCATAAGAAATACTTTTATTCTGTTTTGATTCATAAAAAGAAAATTTCTTTCGAAATAAATCAGTATGAAGGACAACACTCAATTTAAACTGAAATTTTTATCCGAAATTGATGTTCCTTTGTTGAGATATTGAATTTCAAAAAAAAAAATATTCGTTTTCCATAAAAAATTGAGTTCACTTAAAAATTCAATAAGTTCTTAGAAGAATATTCTTTTCGGATGAATTTTTCAGGATACTTTATAGGTTACTAGAGTTATTTATAGGCAATAATTTAGTACCACAACTATAACTCGATTCCAAAGACACGATTATTACTTGCAATGATATACTCGAAACAACTATAGTATACTTATTTAAAATAATAAATACCGTTGAACACGGAATGATCGCGGTAAATAGGTAGCAGGTAAAAAGAGTGCATAACCAATGACAAGTACCCAAAGAATTGATATTTCATCAAGTAATTGTCCAGCCTAAAAGATTGTCAAGTTCGATTTTTTTTTGTTTTTTTTTTTTTTTTTTTATAATTTAATTTCAACATACAAGACTAAGTGTAGCATGAAAATAAACAGAACCGATACCAATAATAATTAATAAAATCCAAAGAATTGCTATTCCATTTGCTACTCGTTTTGAATATGGTCGAAAAAGAAAAATCATTAAAGGTGGCACCAAAAAGAAGAAAATATTGGATACCTTAAAACATACAAAAAAAATATTCAAATTAATATGTTTAAAATTACAATTTCGAAAAATTTCCTATAAATATATATATATATATACATAGCCAATTGATAATTAAAATAGCAAGCAGGGAAAAAAAAATAAACATGCATTTATACATATAAAATATAGCAATCCCGAAACGATGAAACTAAACAAGTTACCTTTCATCCATCTATTTAGCATGTTAGCCAGCAATAAAGATAGAGTTAAGTAATCGATTCAGCTGTTATTGTAGCCTGATTTGATTGTGCATAACGAAAGGAGAGGAGAATAGGAAACCTTTTTTTTTTCTTTTCTTAATACTTACTGTATTCCAAAATTCAGCAATATATTCACTAACAACATAATTTGGTTCACACCAATCGACTTTACTTGAACCAAGTCGAAATGGATTTCCATTTAGATTATTTAAATTAACTTTAGATATACTTGTTTTAATATACATTTAAATCTAGAAATATAGAATTTATTATAAGCAACAAACGAAACTATATATATATATATATACATTTATCTGTTTGTGATTGATTTAAACATCATGAGATCTAATACATATCAACATTTGTATGCCCTTTATCGATATCATTATGAACAGATTAGTTAGATTATAATCATGATATTGAAAAAGAAATACAAAATTACTTAATCGATTTTTTTCTTCGTTAGTCTTCTTTCAGTTTATTTTTAATCTATTATCAAACTAGTGGATTAAATATATCAAGCATGAGTGCTTACAGTACGTTTATGATCTGATGTAGTATGAGTATCAACAAAATAAATACACAATGAGATGTAATCTTTCAGTAGTTTGTACTCGAAAAAATATCAAACAAACTCAAATGCATACGTGTCTGTACATATAAAAATATCACAAGGAAAGAAATTTAAAAATAAGTCGATTTTCATCAAAACAAAGAATCGAAATATTTCAAGACACTAACGATGTATATACATTATTTCTTAAATGAAATTTTCTTCACTTTAAAGTTACTTATATCAGTATTATAAAACCTAAAATTTACGAAGATAAGTAATCTAAGTTAAATAGAAACTTGAATCTACGCAAGAGAATTAAAAATAAATACAAAAAATTAGTTTGTAAAACATCCCATTTATTTTCTGTTAATGATATTCATATAAAAAAGAAAACAAAACAAAAACAATCAAGCCAATATAATTTATATTGTTGTATTGTTATTATTTGTTAATAAAATGGGATTGATCTTTCTTTTTTTCATTTTCTCATGGTTTTCTTTTTTTTTTCTTCCTTGAATTTTCATTGGAAACCGCCTCGTCGAGCATAAGTACCTTGTTGTCGATCAAGACCACCACGTTGAGTTCCACCTTGTTGATTTTGTTGTTCATTAGCTTCTTGTACACCAACATTAGGTAATGATTTAAAATCGAATGCATTTAACATATCCTTGGTATCTTGATCAATAGCAATCATAGTTTGTGGTTCAAGTGCTGATACTTCTGGTACATAATTATCACGTCGTTCACGTTCTTCTTCTTGAAGTTTAATTGATATACCACGTACAGGTCCAGCTTGAATACGTTTCATTAAATGTGTTATAAAACCAGCTATTTGATTACGAAGACGTTTTGTTGGTATAATAGCTATTTCTTCAACAACACGTTTATTTGTATGAAAATCAAGCGTCAATTTTGTATAATATTTTTCAATTATTTGACGCGATGCTTTTTTAATAGTTTTGGTACGAACACGACCCATTTTTCGTTTTTAATTGATAGAGAAAAAAAACGACGAGATAATCTAAAAATAAAAGTGCAGGGAAGACAATTATACATACAAAAAAAAAAATATAATATATTTTGTTTATATTTAAGATGACTCGGGTTTTTTTACAACGATTTTTATTTTAGGTTGTCGTTCGTCAGGTTTAGCAGCATAATCAGATTCTGTATGAAATCGACAATGTTGACAATTATCAAATTCATCAACTTCTGTTGTATGATCATTATTTGATTGTGGATCATGTGGTTTTGTATATATACAACAACATTTGGATTTCTTTTTATTCAAATGTTCATTATCAATTGTTCCTTCTGTCCAACGAACACGAGGACCAGCTTGATTTGAAGGATTTAATTCAAGTACAAGTGACGGAGGATTTGCTCGTGCGGTTTGACGTGTTTGAGTTTTTGTAACCGTTGATGTTGAAGTTGCCATTTAAAAATGAACATAAAACGAAAAATTTAATCTGAAAATATAGAAAAAAAAAAAAAATGCTTAGAAATTCATAATAGTTAAGCAAATTTTTTTTTTTTATCTAATTATACAGGACTTAGCTTTCAATCATTCGAGATTATTTTCAAATCAAATAGTTACACCAAAGAAACAAAATTCTAAATGAATAAATCTATTTGCAAACAAACAAACAATTGATTATGTTTACTATTTCAAATATCATCATCGGACACGAAAGAAAGAAAAAAAGAAAGAAAAAAACGAAATACATATTAAATCTGACAGGAAAATCACAATTGATTATTGCAAATAAATTACACATACCAATCATAATAAGTTTCATTAAGTATTTTTCCATGACCAAGTGTTTGATATTTAATTGAACGTATACCATATTCATTACCATTATTTGCTTGTTCAATATCAGCTAATATTGTTGTTGTTTGTCTTGTTGGACTTAAACGATCATATTGTAATTGTACACGTTGTTTCCAATGACTATAATCCATTGGACAAAGATTAGCAAGACCATTATAAATAATTGAACGATTTATTTGTCGACCAAATAAACCATTTTTATATTCAAGTTGAAATAAACCAGGACAATGATCACATAATAATCTTAATATTCTATCAAGCATACGTATTGTCCATGCATAACCATCATCAGCTAATTTTCGACATGATATATGACATTGAATTGGTACATAATCAACATTCCATGGTATATATAAATAATAATGTTCATTAGATGTTTTTAATGAAAATTCTAATGCATATTGTGAATCATCATTTTGTATATGAAAAATTATAGAATTTGGTATCCAATAATGACGAAGAGCAATAAGACGAACTTGTTCAAATGCACGATAAGTTAATAGATGATTATGAGATTTATTAAATAGACTAAAATGCATATCTTCAATATCAGACATCTGAAATGAGAAGAAAAAAAAACATGATTTGAATTTAAATAATTATCTTTACAAATGAGAAGAATATTATCAAATGAAAAAAGACAACAATAACAACAAATAGTTGTTATTTTAGTATTTCTATTTCTCGTTAATATGTTAGTTGAAATGTTAATATGTTCAATTGATCATTAAAACAAAAAAAATTTTCTTGGCAAAAAAAAATCCAATTATCTATTTTCATACAGAGAAAGAAAATCAGGACACAATAGATGAATCACGCATAAGAATAAAACACAAGAACAAATAAATGGCATGCATCTTTAACAAATATACAAAAATTCTTTTCTTTTCTCTTTTTTGTTTTTTTTTTGTTTCTCTCTTTCTTTGATATTTAACCATTATGACTAGAACAAAAGAAAGAACTAATAAATATATATATTTATGTCTCACTAATGATCTTTTGTTGTTAATCGATCAATTAATTCTTGTAATGGTGCTAATTCTTTTTTTTCAACTAATGAAAATTCTTGTATAAAATAAACAAAATGTTTAAATGATGTATTTAAATGTGCTTCTTCTTTAAGCATAACAACTTCTTTAAAATGTTGATGATATATATGTGCATAAACACGAAATAAACGTTTTAATATTGTTTTAGCTATTGAAAGAAAATTTTTTGGAAATGGTATACCAATTTTTGATGGAAATATTAATTCATCATCAAGTTGATCTTGTACCCATGACATTAAATAATCAATATAACGTGGTGCGGAACATTTTATTGGTTTTTTTATTATTTGACCATCAGCCCAATGATATTCATATTTTGGTCCAGCTGTCATTAAGACACATGTTGTTTCTGTACAAAATTCTGTTATTGTACCATAAAGCATATTTATTTGATTAAAAAAATCAACAACTAAAATAAAATATTAAGATCAAAAATAAAATTGAACTAATAAACAAAGGAAATCTTTCAGGTAATGAAGCATTTTTTCCTCATTAAAAAAAAAACACATAATTGTATACGGTTCAATGCGTTAATTTCTAATATCATGATGCTAGCAGTCCGTATGCCTTTCTGGGCTCTATAATATAACTACCAATTGTTTTCTAATAGAGGCATTTGCCTATCTAACTTGAAAGCCGCTTTCTGTTCGAACTATGTGCATAAGATAGACTACTATGAGGTGTTAAAACTGCCATAAAGGATAAGGTTGTTTCCTTCGTGAGATATAAAATTCTCGAAAACCACTCGTATTCTACGAAAAGAATACTCGTTTAAACTGAAATTGTCAAAACATTCTAGTTACAAGCACATCTATCCATAGGCAAGGTTTCAGTGGAACGGTTATAATTTTGTAGACAAATCCAAGGAGTCCTTATCTTTTTGAGGCTTTTAATATATCATTAGGATCTATCTTATACACAAAGTCCGAACACAAAAACGGTTTTCACTTTAGGATAGTTTTTTCGTAAGATTCATCGTAAAACAAAGAAAAATTTAGTATAGAAAAGCCGTGCGTTAAGCTTCATATTTTCAGACTATGATGAAATGAATTTTATATAAAGGGTCATTAATAAGTTTTTGTTCACTTTTGACCCACTAGAAAGTATTTCTGATGAGTCGAAAACTATCAGCTAGAAACTTAGAAAATTTTATAAAAACTTTCCGATCATTGGTTATTTTTAACATAACCTCCCTCAATTTACTATTTGGTTTAAAAACCTATTCAGAATATATTACATGTTAGAAAATTAATATACACGTGCCTATATAAAACTTTATTCAAACTAATATTAACTTAATATGTGCTCATTCTTTAAATTAATAATATAGATATTTTTATTACATCTATGATTGATATGTGGAACATCTATTATGCACTTTTTTATCTTGATTTCTATCTCCCGTAGTATTTTTCTTTAATGTAAATTATCTATGAACTTAGTTTATATATAAATGTCGAATGACTATTCGTAGTCAATGTTTGTATGACTTCACTGTTGTATAGTTTAGTATCTGAGATTATCAAAGAATTTTGAGAGGGAAAAAAATACTCTTATTAAAAGACGATTGATAATTATGATATAGAAATTGTAAAAGTTTATGTACCACTAGAACTATCATATTCGTAATCAATTGAATACAATCGTGTTTTTTCTTTTTAAGAAAAAAATTCACTATTTAGAAGATTTTATTCGTAAGATATATTTACTATTAACAGCAATCCATTCATTAAGATCTTCTCCTTCAGGTAATTGTACAGCTAAACGTAAATTTCCACTGCCTAAAGTATTTTGTGCATGCTTCATTAAATCATGTTGTTTTGTACCTATTTAATAAGAACAAATAAATTTCGAGAAAATTAACGAGAAATTAAATACCTTCTGGTATATTTCGATGAGGTTTAAATGTACGTGGTTGTCGACTAGAAAATAAAATTAAAAAAAAATATATATTTATTTATTTTTATATTTATTAAAAATAATAACATACAACAAAAAATTCATTTTATTATCTCCTCATTGGAGATTGAAAAATAAAAATATCATTTCATTACATTGATTGAATAGATGATAATGTTTTAGACATGAATAAAAACAAATTCTTATTTTAATCATGCCATCTATTTATTCATTTTTTTTATCCTTATTTTACCATTAATGTTTACTTCATCTGTCCTCTCTGTTTTTGCAAATTTCTGTTTTTTTTTTTTTTCTATATTTTATACAATCAGTGACATCTATTTAACAAAAATATAGATGATGGTTGTATCTAAGCAATGAAAAATGGTTCATATACTATCATCATTATGCATTAATCTCAACCAATTACGAATCCGTTACGTTTGAATACATGGGTATACTTGATTCATTAATTGAATGGCTTGGTTTTCGTCGACGAGAAGTTAATGTTTTAGTTGTTGGTCTTGACAATAGTGGTAAATCATCACTTTTAAATATTTTACGTCCACATGAAGCTCAAACAAATGATTCAACACCAACAGTTGGTTTTAATGTAGAACATTTTTCGTTTAATGGACTTTCATTTTCTGCATTTGATATGAGTGGACAAAGTCGTTATAGAACATTATGGGGAAATTATTATCGTACAACAAATGGTATTATATTTGTAATTGATAGTTCGGATAAAACACGTATTCTTGTTGCTCGTGAAGAACTTCAACAATTACTTTCACATCCGGATGTATCAAAACGTAATATTCCTATTTTATTTTTTGCTAATAAAATGGATATACGTGATGCATTTTCAGATGTAGGTGTATCATCTGCATTAAGTCTTGAGACCATCACAAATAAATCTTGGCATATATGTTCAAGTAATGCACTTACAGGAGAAGGTGTTGTTACTGGTATTGAATGGTTGAGTTCAGCAATTAAAACTTCATTCGAGCAAGGAAAAAAATAAGAATATAGATTTATTTTCTGTAGTTCTAACAGTTATGTGCAATTTTATATCTCGAGTATTATATTTTGAGAAATATAAAATAGCACTTTATTTTTGATAATATAATGAGAAAAATTTTCACATATGTTTGATGTTGTATTTGGTTATGTCATAAATGAAAAAAAAAAAAACAAAATATAAATAATGACTTTAAAACCTCTATGTGAATTCAATGAATAATTATATTGATTCAATCATTGATGAAGTATAGTGAAGATCAATTGAATTTCTATCTTTTATTCTTTTTTTTCTATTGTGCTTTACTTTGTAATTAATGCAGTTCAGAGCATAAAAACTGTATCTGAAAAACAAACAGTCATGCTTTTTATATAATTTACGTTCACATTTGAATCGTTATAAAGAAAATTTATAGGCAAATGATTGCTTAAATATAACGTGATCAGGATGGGGAAGCTCTTGAGATGTGATGATGTCATCATTGGAAAAAAATTGGATATAGGTGTGAGTGTGAGTCTTCTCTTCAGTACACACCCGTACCCACTCTCTACTTCTACATTGCTGGTTTCTGCATCTAAACCCAATAAATTTATATATATATTATTCTTGTAATTCATAGGAGTGACATTTTGCACTTATGTAGAGGAAGTATTGTTGAGGAGCCACTGTCTGAAGTGTAACAGTTATCGATTCCACAAAGGAATAATATTGATACTCGGTTTTGGTATTAGTTAATATACATAAATTAAGAGCATCTGCGTGATACAGTGTACATAAAAGAATACAGCTCACGGCAATTGATATAAATTAACAAGGGTACGAGTTTGATATGGAGTATGGATGGAAGAAGGCGCACACTACATGACAGATATTATTTAGAACCAATATTTATCGTCGTGTTTCAAACTTGTTATAGAGCATTTCAATAGTCACTTGATCAATAATTTTTTATTATGTAAGATACTAACAAAAGTCCTTGTGATGACATCATAATAGATAGAGTTCGAAAATTGAGAACAAAGAATGACGAAATATGTGGAGAGTCTCGTATCATAGCCATCAATCGTAACATATATAACCTCAATGCACATATGCTATACGCACTTTCTGATATGCTCTACTGATTTTTTTAGTTTAAAACGAATGAAACATTTGTAATCATAGTAAAAAGAAGTCTGCTACCTTTTACATGTATGCAATTAGAAATAGCATCTAAATTTTCACAAAATAAATAAATGAGAAAAATGAAGAGATCTATAGACATAGAATAGAAGAAAAAAGCACGACGTTCTTTCGTGAATATCAACATAATTGACAAAAAAAAAAAAGCAATTTTCAATTTTTCATAGACGAAATAATCTTTTTTCGTCTTTTATTATTAGGATTATATTCCTAGACGAAATCCTACATAAATATCAGCTTTGATCTAATGTATGTTTTTTTTTAATTTTCATACAGATTTTATGTTTTAATTTTTATTCGTTTTTCAGGGAGAATGCGTATTATAAGATGCTCTACATTTTGTTCTTTCTTGTTACATATAATGTTTTAAAGTAAACAACAGATGTTAAAAAAACACGGCGTAATTCAATTGGTCCTTACTATACACCGATGCTGGAGGGCCAGTCGTTTTTTTTGTACGAAGGGTAAATCACGAACAAAAAAAATCGTTGCTTCAATTGGCGAGCATCTAAATGTGTCAACAAAGAGAAAATAAATAACTTCAGCGACATATGACATTTTTTATCGACAGGGTTGTAACTATTATCGTTGCTGTCATTAATGCAAATATTTTTTAGTATCGACTACGCAGTAGCCATGTGCTTTCTTCCTCTTTTTTTCTCTTCCTTGCATCAGTTGATTACATGACTGAGGGTAAAAAAAGGTAGTAATTACATTTTGATGATGTAATTCATCTGACGAGTATAAATACGCTGCATTTCGCATGTATTTTTTCATCTCATCTTCAAAGAGAAAAAACGTGCTTCATAGCGTTCGTTTTCTCGAGATCGACTACCGCTTACTTCGAAACTCATGAATTATGAAGTAATGCGATAACTATAAGCGGTGGCGCCAACGACTTGATGGTCTTTTAAGATTTATCTTGGATCGTTGGAGGTGACACCGCATCTTTATTTTCTATCAACTATTTCTTTATTCTGTTTTCTCGGATTGTCAGGCCCACTTCGATGCCATCCTATCTCTGAATAGCGGCTACGCCATCGACTCTTCTAGAGACGCTCGACACATTTATGTGTCTTTTGTAGTGGAGATAGGAATGTTGTTATTGAAGTGGTTACCTGCCGATCCACTGTTGTGATTTGAACGAGCATGTTCTGTTTATAGATTATTAATTCAGACATGATATTCGTTCCACTTCAGTGAATCGGTATGGTGCAACTACTAGGAAAATATATTCAAAATTATGATTATTTATTTTTATATGACATAAAAATGAAAAAAGAAAGATAAACACCATTTAGATGAAATTGAAAACAATTCGTAAACCATCATGTACTATGATAATTTAAAGTATAACTATCATAATCATGATCATATGTAGAAAATGATATTCCATTAGTATTATCCCATGATGGTAAAAGTGAATCACCAACTGTTGATATATTCGAAAGAAATTGTAATGTTTTTAGTTTATTATTTTGACTTTCATTATCTACAGCAAATTGATCATATTCAGGTATATCTATTGGAGAATCTCAAGATTGTAAATCAATTCGAAAACTAAAAGAAAAAAAAATAAAGATAGCGTTAACTGAGTTATGGGAGTAGTAATAATAAATATGATCAATGCATGTACCTGACTTGTTGTAATTAAATGACAAGAATTGAGTTTTAGATTTATTTTAATATAATAAATGTCTCTCTGTCAAATAGGAAGTTGCGAGTACATCCCGATTATGGATCGAGTGGGTTCGGATGCAGAAGTTTAACCAAAATTATTCTATACAGTTGAAGATTTTGGTGTTACTGTTAATTGGACGACTCTTTTTTATCAATTAACTGCACAATTTAATTTATTAAGCATTGAGTGACGAGAAAAGGAACAACAAGAGATAACTGGATGCTGACTTTTGTTTCGGAGAGTAGTCAATAAATTACTAAAACCTTGATTATTCATTTGTTCATGTACACAAAGGGGACAAGAATGCCAAAATATATAGTTCGTGCTGCTGATTTCGAGCATTATCTTACTTTTTGTCCTAATCATTTCAATCAGTGAGGAGCGTAAATCTTAGATCAATTGAACTGTGTATGAATAAGCACGTCAATTTGGATTTTTGACCAAGTATCTGCCTTATGTAATGTTGTTAGTGTTTTACAATGAGGTTTCAAATACGTATTCAAATATTCTTCATTTAATTATGAAAAAATTAAGATCAGAGACGGAAAAAGAACCGAACAAAAATCAAACCAAATTTTCAAAAAAATGAAGTCGAACCCAATAAAACCTCAAGTGAAAAAAATTAGTGAGCAATAATCGATTGTGTAACATTGCAATGCGGTTAGTGAAGATCAAATAATCTCTGCTTTGTTATTTGACATACTTAATTTACTTTCACTCGCTGCATTACCCGAAAATGAATTTTCAATCTTTCATCTACTCCTGATTACGGAGAACTAGACCTATTCGAAACATTCTAAATTCCAAGTACAAATGTGTCGAAAACAACTTAAACCTTTGTGTTGTGTTTTTTTATGCGACAGATATCGCTAGATAAAAATGTTGTTATATTGAAAATATTTGAGAGTAACTCGAGATAAATAATAAATTCATTCGATATGAAATCTGTGTCGGAACAATATATCCTCATCGGAACGCAAATAAAAGATCTCTTGCTAAAACTTACTGTGACTTCAAGTTTTGTGCAGCTGTAGAGTAAGTAGTATACTCACTATGGAAAATATTTTGATTAATAAAAGAATTGTTTTTGAAAGGTTTTTTCATTTTCATACGATTATTTTAGTTGAATATTGATTGATGTCCTATACTTCTCTGTTATACCATGATTCGTCTTGGATTATGCAATCAAAATTTTTTAATGTTTTATACATATTGTGATAGTCGTTAAAACGTTTTGTCGATGCCATATAATTGATTGTAATTAAAACTCATTCAAATGATCAAACAATTGAATTAGTATGATACATTGCTTTATGAAAAAATATGCAATTCTGATATTTTATCAGTATTTTACTAATCTTAATATGCTGGCAATAATTCTCGATAATTTATATCTATTTAACTTACCAACGTTTCGAAATATAGTCTAAAAAGTTTAGGTTATCATACTGTTTCATTATGAAATTATTGAACTTTTACAAAAGATCCAAAAATTAGAGTGAATGATTTGATTTCGAAATAGATTTTATTTGTTTTCTTCTTTCTTCTAACCAGCAGTTCAATGTCTTGAAAAAGAACGACACTTTTATTTAGTAACTCTTTTCAACTCTACCTATTACAAAAAGAGTTGTTTCAACAAATGAATGTGTTGAGTTCATGAATTATATTTTTTAAAGGACGAAGTTTTTTCTGGACCATTCTGTTATTTTTCCAAACCTTAGTGAATCGATGTGTGCGGCTCCTTTTGCAGTTATATCACTTCGTCATTTCATACAATTACTCTCTAGAAGTGTCAGAGGAAGATTTTATTTTTCATTCTTTATTTACATATGACCTTGAAAAAGAAAAGAAAACTTTGTTTTTGGCCAAAATTATCACTATGTTAGTACTGAAAAATTATATTCTACAGATTATGTTTTCACAATTCTGGTATGCTGTTTGTCGTTCTATAGTTTTAGTTGACACCATTAGTCTTTCCTTAAATACAAGATTGTGATTTATCCATATTAGATATTTTTGCGATCGAGCGAAGACCGTCTTATTTGCCTACAATCAAAATGTTGCATATTTGAATGTAGGTATCTTTATTCTTTACTGACATACAACCACACATCGATATTCATACCGCCATCCACATTTCATACTTGCATATATGTATGCAAACATGAATAACATGTAAATACTGATAAATAAATAAATGAGAAACAGATAGAGATCTATACACATTGAATAGAAGCAAAAAAAATACTATGCTCATTTGTGCATATTAACATACCTTACAAAAAAAAACACTTTCTAACTTTTCATATTACTTTATTATCTCGGTTATATTTTTAGATCAACTCTTATATAAATCTAAGTCGTGAACTAATGTATGTTTTTTTTTCTATTTAACGCAGTTTTTATGTTTTAAGTTTTGTTCATTTTTCAAGAAGAATGTATATTATTACATGCTGGACATTTCGTTCTTTCTTGTTACAAATAATGTTTTAATGTAAATAACGTATGTTAAAAAAACAGAGGGCAATACAATTGATCAGCACTATACACCAATGATAGAAAAACTTTCTTTTGTTTTCAAATGAAGGGCTAGTCATGAAACACAAATCGTTGTTGCTTGAAGAATTGTGAATCCATATGCGTCAAAGAAAAGAAAAGAAATATTTTCAGTAACATATGAAATTTATTAATAATAAAGTTGCAATTATTATGGTTGCTTTTTCTTGATGCAAATGTTGGTTTAATGCCGACTACGCATCAATCACGTGCTTCTTGCCTTGTTTTTCTCTTCTTGGAGTCGGTAAATTGCAAATGTGATAGTAAGAAACAAGTGGTGGTTACATTCTAATGGTGCAATACATTTCACGAGTATAAATATGCTGCATTTTGCATTTATTTTTTCATCTCATCTTCAAAGGGGAAAAACGTACTTTATAGCGTTCGTCCCTCTTGAGATCTACTACCGCTTACTTCGTCTACAAAACTTGCATAGAGAAGTAAATGGCATGGTAATACGCGGTGTCGCCAACGACTTGATGGTCTTTTAAGATTTATCTTGCATCGTTGGAGGTGACACCGCATCTTTATTTTCTATCAACTCTTTCTTTATTCTGTTTTCTCGGATTGTCGGGCCCACTTCGATGCCTTTCTATCTCTGAATAGCGGCTACACGATCGACTCTTCTAGAGACGCTCGACACATTTATGTGTCTTTTGTAGTGGAGATAGGAATGTTGTTATTGAAGTGGTTACCTGCCGATCCACTGTTGTAATTTGAACGAGCATGTTCTGTTTATAGATTATTAATTCAGACATGATACTCGTTCCACTTCAGTGAATCGGTATGGTGCAACTACTAGGAAAATATATTCAAANCACCCTAACCTACACAAAGTGTTCTTTTTACATAGCTTTCAAAATCTCTCAGGGTGGGCTCGATGTAAATCAGGATGGGCTGAGCCCACCCTGGCCCACCCCTGGCGCCGCCACTATTTACAAGTGCATTAAACAATATTAATCTACGCCAGTATTAACTCTAATGTAATATTTTAATTGTTCGACAATGAATTTTTAACCTTTCAACTAATCCTGATTAAGAAGAACTAGGGTTACTCGAAACCAACCAAACCTAGACTTTCGAATAGTCCAAAAAACTTGAATCATTTTTGCTTAGTTGTTAGTTGAAATCTTTCTGCAATACATATAACTGAGGAAAATCTACAACGATAGAAATATTTTCTATTTAGAAAACTTTTCAACGTAACTAAAGACACAACATAAATTCATTAAATACAAAATCGCGTCTCAAACGACATATCCTGAACAAAAAGCAAACAAAAGATATCTCTCTCTCTCTGTCCCTCAAAAAGTTACTGTCACTATAAGTTTAGTGCAGTTATAAACTAAGTAGTTGTATACGCAGTATATTAAAAAACCAGGGTGTACTTTTGTTAGCCCTCAGTATACATCGGTGACGGATGCCCCTCTTTACTTATATGAAGGGTAAGTCATGAAAAACATGTTGTTGCTTAAATAGTCATAAATTTAAATGCTTCACAGAAGAAAAAAAAACTAATTTCAGCGACGTATAACATTTTTTCACAATAGGGTTACAATTATTAAGGTTGCTTTTCATTGATGCAAATATTTGTTTAGTGTCGACTGCGCACCAGTCATGTGCCTTTTCTCTTATTGTTATCTTTTTTGCTTTAGTCGATTGTGAGAGCAAGGGCAAAAACCAAGGTGGTGACAATATTTTGATGATAAAATTCTTCTCACCAGTATAAATATGCTGCATTTTGCATGTATTTTTTCATCTCATCTTCAAAGGGGAAAAACGTGCTTCATAGCATTTGTCCTCTCGAGATCGACTACCGCTTACTTCGATATACAACATAGAAACCTATGAACTGCGAAGTAATTCGATAACTATACGCGGTGTCGCCAGCGACTTGATAATCTTTTAAGATTTATCTTGGATCGTTGGAGGGACATCGCATCTTTATTTTCTATCAACTTTTTCTTTATTCTGTTTTCTCGGATTGTCGGGCCCACTTCGATGCCTTTCTATCTCTGTATAGCGGCTACACGATCGACTCTTCTAGAGACGCTCGACATATTTATGTGTCTTTTGTAGTGGAGATAGGAATGTTGTTATTGAAGTGGTTACCTGCCGATCCACTGTTGTGTTTTGAACGAGCATGTTCTGTTTATAGATTATTAATTCAGACATGTTACTCGTTCCATTTCAGTGAATCGGTATGGTGGAACTACTAGGAAAATGTATTCAAAATTATGATTATTTATTTTTATATGACATAAAAATGAAAAAAGAAAGATAAGTTAATTCATTTCAAATGTATTTTGTCGTCGAATACGCATTGTTGTGTGTTTCATTGAATGATACAATGCATATGAATTCCAATGTAAACCATTTCTTGCAGTATTTTGTAAAGCAAGTGGTGATCGTATATAAGCACCATTTAGATGAGATTGAAAACAATTCGTAAACCACCATGCACCATGATAAGTTAATGCACAATTATCATAAAATAAATTATCATAATCATGATCATATGTAGAAAATGGTATTCCATTAGCATTATCCCATGATGATGAAAGTGAATCACCAGCTGTTGATATATTTGAACGAAATTGTGATATTTGTAATTTATAATTTTGACTTTCATTATCTAAAGCAAATTGACCATATTCAGCTATACGTATATGAGAATCCCAAGGTTGCAAATCAATTCGAAGACTAAAATAAAGATAAGAATAATTATAACATTAAATAAGTTGTGGGGATAGTAGTAGTAACGAATATCATTAATGCATATATCTGTCTTTCAGTAATTAAATGACATGGATGGAGTTTTAGATCTATTTTAACGAATAAATGTCTCTATGTCAAATAGGAAGTTGCAAGTTCATCCTGATTGTGGATCAAGTGTATCCAAATGTAAAAGCTTAGTCGAAATTATTTCATGCATATGAAGATTTTGGTGTAATTGTTGGCTTGATAATTTTTGTTCGTCGAATAGCCGTTGAATTTTATTTGTTAACGAAAACAAATCTTTTCAACTAAGCAGAACCTTTAAATTTATTATGCGTCGAGTGACAAGAAAGTGAATTTTAAGAAATAGCTAAATGTCGACCTAAATTATGAATTCGTAGCTTCCTACTATCATAGTTTGGAATGAGAATATTCAAATAATAACTTATATTAATCATTAATTGAGACCTTAAATTATAGTTTCTAATATCTTTTGTCATTTTCAGAAGTAAAATTTACGTTAATTCAATTATCTCATGATGAATAATCGTCTTGTACAGCATACAAAGACCGATAAGGGCACTTTTCTCTTTAAATCGTTTTTTATTGAAAAGCAAGTATGAAGGAATATATATGCAAGTTTCAAATGCTGTTTGACTCCATATTATGGTTATGAATAGATCTTAATGAGACTAAGACAAGTTTAAAAGGATTGGGATATATAGCCTACGAATAGAAAGTAGTGAATTTTTCAATGAAATTACTTCTGAGAACAAGGGCATCGACGAAAGATGCAAAACAAAGAGTTTTAATCTGAAGTTTGGTCCATAGGGACGCTTAATAGTCATTTGATAGTCCTGAAATTTTCAGAGCTATCTAATGACTACTAAATGTGTCTATTGGCAACATTTGCTAGCCGGAACTCGTTATTTTCGGTTCTTCAAAAATGCTGTGCCTTCAGAAACAATTTGATTGAAAAAGCTAATACTCTTCACCAACAAATCATAGGTCCAATTCACACCTCTATCCCTCTATCGCGCACCTGAAATTTTTTTTCTTTTCGTTTCTAGTTAAGCACGTGCCAAAATGTAGATTTGATGGCACCGATTAGAAATGTTACCTGAGTTTTTGTCAAAATCATTTCAACGAGTACGAAGAACAAATTTCACAGAAATTAGACTCCAGGTAAATAAACACGTTGACTTCTGTTTTTGGCCGACTACCGACTTTATATTAGGTTCTAAACGTTTCTAAACCAAGTTTAAATGAGTATTTAAATATTAGTTATCCAATGATAAATATAAGAAACAGCTCTTAGAACTAGATTACGAGCTAAAACACTAGTCAATCGATGTGTATCTCTTCTTTCGAAATTATATCGCTTCGTCATTTTACACGGTTACCTTCTAAAAGTGATATAGATAGATGCGGTTTTCATGCTCTATTCAAATATATCTGGGGGTGGTCAATTTGACTGGTACCCCGTTTTGATACAGTCCTATTGTACGGATAAAACCTCCTATTGTCCGGGCCATATAATAGAGGATCCTATATAACCCTGGATTGGCCCGAACAACACCATGTTTTATCCGTATAATAGTAGAGCAAAGCTACTAGCTTCAATCGTGAGCTGGTAGCTTTTTCCTACTATTGTAAGGATAAAACATAGTGTTGTTCGGGTCAATCCAGGATTATATAGGATCCTCTATTATATGGCCCGGACAATAGTAGTTTTTATCCGTACCATAGGACTATATCAAAACGGGGTACCAGTCAAATTGACCACCCCCCATCTTTGAAAAAGAAAAGAGAATGTTTTTTTTTGCGGTACAATTACCATTTAGTAGTGAAAAATCATATTTTTCAGATAATTTTTTCACGATTTGCACATTCTATTGATTGTTTTATGCGCCGAATCAACACATGCCAAAGTAACGTGAATATATGTGCGCTTGCTTTAATCTATGATTGACTTATTATCATGCTGAAATTTGTTGTTTTTCGAAAAAACTTTGCGGAACGTATTTTGATAGAATTCAAAGAATTGAAATATAATTTTTCTTTACTGTCTCAGTAAAATAATTAAAAATATTTGTGATGAATAAACTTACATATATTTTCCTTGATTTGTTAATAGATGAATTTTTTCATTTCCTAACCAAAATTCTGTTCGTAAATCACCAAAACCATTTTTATAATCATTCCATCCATGATAAAAATCAATTGTACCATTTATTCTGTGTTGAATAACTGTCCATCCTATTTAATAAAACGAAAAAAAAAAAGTCGATTTTCATACTCGTTTTATCTCATATATATGTATATTTCAGTCTTACCTATATTATTTTCAAATATACATTTAACATCAAATGATTCAGATGCAAAACGTGGTTTTATACGAAAAATTCCTTCGTGAACAAGTGATGGTTGTTGACTATATACATCATCACAATCTAAACAAAAAATATTTAATGTTAACTTTAAGGGTATTCCGCTTCGTTTCTTAACCCAATTTTTTTTTGGCCTCTTGTGACCATTTATGAGTCTGACTCTTACAAATGAAAACATGCGTTTTTTTTAGGGCATCTAAAGTTTTCAGATTAATCGAACATAGCATCTCAGAGAAACAAGGTAATCATTTTTCGCCATTATAAAACTCAGTATCTCATAGATTACAGCATTCAGGAACTTTGAGTCTATGACAACTTTTATGCTAATCGTTAAACTCTAGCTGTCATGAAAATAGATCAATGTTTGTTTCCATGCTTATCAAAACATATGAAATATGTTTTTTTGTTTGTAAAGTTTCTTCATTTTCATTTTTGACAATTGTTCCAATATTTTCAGGTCAAATATTCAATAATTTATGGTATTTATCAATTATCAAAGGAATTTTTCTCTGATAATATGGGGTAAAATTTTATTAATTTCCTGAATACAACACTAAAAATTTGTCATAATGTTTTAGTATTTAAATGCCATTTCTGTGTACTCAAAAAGTGAGTACACTCTAGAATCGGTCAGTGTGTCCGTCCGTCCGTCCGTTTACACGATAACTTTTGAAAGGAGAGTCCAATCACGATGAAATTTTCCACACAGTTCAGTCTTAACCATCTCGCGGTCGAGCTTGAAGAT